CTCTCCGTTAAACTTCTAAACTGCTCAGGTTGGCACAGTGTACCAACATCTTCCTCACTAAAAGATGAGTTCCATAAGAGCATGAGTCTTGGCTGTTGCTCTCTTGGTCCCTCAGTAACCAGCACAATACCAGGACAAGGTCCACATGCAGATACTGGAAGGGCAGATGGACGGATGGATGGGTGGGCAGACGCACAACTGACTGCCAGGTTCTAGAGGCCCCTCACTGAAAAGTGATTAGTCAGTACTGGACTGTCTAGATACTAATATCAGTCTGTTTAAGAAAATATGAAAGGAAAATTAATTTCTAATTCTCTTTAGGAAACACCAACTCAATAGGTTCAGCTTCTCAAAATCAGAAAAATTCACAACAGAAAGAAGGCAAACTGTGTCCACACAGTCACCATGCTGTCCCCCATCAAGGCGGAAGTATCCCCCCTCAGACAGTCAGGGATGCACAGGGCTACTGTAAAGCCCAACTCAAAATTTAATGTAATGAAGGAGTTTCCCACAGCTCTCAGATTTTCCTGTAGGCAGTAAGTCACCCAGTTCCCTAGCCAACTTCAGCTGTGTTGAACTGCAATTGGGTTTGACTGGGAAATCTTCAATTCTTGCATCAAAGGTTTCACCATTCTGCTTACATCAGCAAAGGCCAAAGCACATCTAAATATCTGCCCCTCCTGCTCTCTCAACTAAACCCAAGGTGTCTGTTAAGGTCTTCACACAGCTGACACACAAGCAGGCAAAATAAGCGTGAGGATACAAACATTCCGCTTAAGACTACTGACACAGCACAAGCCTGCCTCTCACACAAGGGATGACAGGTAAACCCAAACCACCTGTAGTCTTCCTGAGTTCTAATTAAATATGCTGAATTCCAGGAGCTTAGCTGCACGGGCAACAAGACACAGAATGCAAACTGAACTCACCAAGAGTTTAGGACTGTTCTGACTAGATAACACCAGGAAAGAAAGAACCAGTCTCAACGGTTTCTAGAGAGGAAGCGTATATCTGAGACACCTGAGACAGCGTTTCAGCCGTGGCACTTATCACTAGACCAACCTGGCATCTAACAGAGCAGCTCACCCAAACACCAGAATCTAAGAGTTAAACTCTGTAGCCTGCTTCCAGTGTTTTAAAAACTATTGTACTGGCAGGGGGTTTAGCTCAGCAGCGTAAATGCCTGCTTGGAAAATTCGAAGTCAAGAGTTGGATCCCCAATACCAAAAAAAAAAAAAAAAAAAAAAAAAAAAAAAAACTACTGTACTCTGAAAGGAGATCAGTTGAAAAGTTAATTTTTTAACATAAACTAAGAATCTTACATTTTATTGCTATGATACGTTAGTATTTGGGAGAGGTGATTAGCATTCAGGGCGGTTAATTAAAAATATTTTTAAAGTACATTCCAAATGCTGTCAACTGGTTTCAGTAGGAATTAAACAGTGATTCAAAGCTCAGTAGAAGCCCTTGACTGTAAACATCAAAGGTCAGCTGTTGGGGGCTTTCACTAGAATGACAAAAGAATAATTTTTAAAGAAACAAAGAGGGCTGGGGATTTGGCTCAGTGCCTTAAGCGCAAGGTCATGAGTGCAATACCCAGTACAAAAATAAAAATAAAAAATAAACATAAAGAAACAAAGAATTGACATCAGAAAAAAAAAAAAAAAAGACTGCATAAACTCTTGGCCACTTCCCACAACGTTGTTTTAAAGCTTCCTCTAACGTATTGTGACCATTAGTTACTGTCTGGGCAGCTTTCACTCTGGACATGTCAGGACTGGAAGCCAGGATGAGTCCAGTGTCCTCAACTAAAGATAGGGTGATCAGGGCCTATGTCACCCTAGAGTCCTGCCTCCACCGCCAGCACCCCACTTCAGGCTCAGCCCCCTCAGCGTAAGGACACATAGGCGGGCCTCTTACTCGGAGGACCTCCATGTCCACCTCCTTCCTGCCCCGCAGATTTCTAAGTGGCATGCACACCAAACACCAGCGATGTCACCCTACTCTCCACAAGAAGCCTCCACACAGAATGTGTCAGGTTTCCAGCATGTCTGTTGTTTGTTTTCTGCTCTCAGAAGATGGTAATTTCAGAATAAACTGAGAATCCAAACAACACCAAAACACAACTAGGAAGAAAGACTAAGAAAATAAGTCAACTAGGGCTGGGGATTTAGCTCAGTGGCACAAGCACCTGCCTGGCAAGTGCAAGGTTGTGAGTTCGATCCCTGGTACAAAAAAAAAAAAAAAAAAAGAAAGAAAGAAAATAAGACAACTAATCAAATGCCCCTTAAGGGATACATGAAGGCAGATTTAGAAATGAAAAATTAAAATACTATGGAAAACTTATTTTAAATAGCCTTTGTATAGAAAACGAGACTCTATTGTAGCAGGGTAGAGAAATCAAAGGCCAAAATGTCTTAATATGCAATGATCTAAAGAAACAGGGCAAAGTTAAACCACAGAAGCAGACACAGAACAAAGAACAGGTGGCGCTGGGTTCTGGCACCACATCTGTGTCCTGAGCCTCGGGACAGGTGAGCATCCTTAATGCAGAGAGCAGGGCCTCAAAGGTATAGCTGCAGGTCTGAGATGAGGAGGCCATCCTGGATATCTGAAGGCCCTGCAGTAGAGGGCAGGCATCCTACTGAGAGCTGGGGACCCCAGACTGGAGGAGCACAGGTGGAGGCCAGGGGCAGGGACAGCCTGGGTGTGGACTGCTGACAGCTGGCCCATGCTGAGACACAGAATGGACCTCTCCCAGAACCTCCTCCTGCAGCGCACACACCAGCTGCCTCTCATTTTAGACTTCTGGCTCCCAGACTGTGAAGACAGATCTGCTTATACACTCACTAGGTGATCCGAGGTGGCAACCACAAGAAAGAGTAGTTACTCAAATCAATGCCTTTAACCTATCAGAGACTCAGCACCGACTCTCAGTGGGCCTCACTCACACAACTTGCACAAGAGGGACAGATGAGCCAGGTGTGGTGTTTCAGGCCTGTAATCCAGGAACTCTGGGAGGCTGAGGCAGGAGGGTTGCAAGTTCCAGCCCTGCTGACTTGGGCAGTTTAGTGATTCCGCAAGACTCTATCCTGAGATTTAAAAAAAAGTCTAAGAGGGCGGGGAGGTAGCTTAGCAGAAGGCCTGGGTTTCATCCCCAGGAGAAGGTGAAGGGTGGTACTCAGTGGGTTTCAAAACTCAGGAGCCCCTCGAAAAACTTACGTCTTCCAAATTCCTACAACTTTCTTCAGAGAAGAAGCAACAAGATCTACTGAGAACAAGTAAAGAGAATCATCATCATCATCATCATCTTATAACTAAAAGCTGACAAACAGCTCAGGAAGGGAAAAAAAGAAAAGAAAAAATGAGAGTCAGCCAGCCTTTTAGTAAAATAAGAAAGACGGCTGAGGATTTAGCTCAGTGGTACCCCGCCTGGCAAATACAGGCCCTGTGTTTGGTTCCTGGTATGAAAAAAAAAAATTACCTTTTTATTTAAAACGCCTCAGTGGCAAAGTTGATGGAAAACAATAGTTAAAAATAAGAGTAAGCTGAAAGAATGACCCTATACTCTTTCTCTGGGTGCTATATTTAAAGATAGTTATTTATTCTTCTATTAATTTAAATTTACAGGAATCCATGAAAATACGGGAATGGTCCTTTCTACACTGGAAACTCAATTTTAGAAAAAGATTGTAACACATTCAAAATACCTCGCTTACCAGAGTATAGTGGCTCATGTAATTCCAGCATTTGAGAGGCTGAGGCAAGAGGATCACAGAGTTAAAGGCCAGCCTGAACTACACTGTGAGAGCCTACCTCACAAGTGTGAATAAAAACAGCCTGCATGCTGTTAGTAAACAGCAAATAACTCCTTTCGAAAAAAAATTAAAAGCAAGAACAAGAAGTTCCTGAATCTACATTTTTATTAAATGCTCTGAGGACCAGTGGTGTACCAGTTCTGAAATCCCTAACAAATTTTATCAAGTGGCATTAATTAAATAAAATGTGATTTATACTTAGGCATCATTAGATGTTCCTTCATAAATGCATGCAAGATTAATGCTGGACACTGAACCCTGTTGTTAGAAAAATGGGGGGGGGGGACATTCCCTAGAAAACCAAGAATTAGACTTCTACAGTTATAAAACAAGCTGTGTAAGGACAGGAATAGTATGAAACTTTAAATTTTTTAAACTGCGAAACACAAAGTGGCCCAGTGGTATATTCTGCACTATACTGTGTGGAACACAGTACTTTTTGAATAAAACTAAAATTACCTTCCACAGGCAGAATAGTTTTTCTTAGATGCGACTGATGTTGGTTTCTGAGCTGTTACATGATGTGAAACTGGATAGTGAATCCTGACCAAACCTACATTTCAACCTACTCAGTGAAGTAACACTCAGCCTGAATGAATGAAAATCTTGAATGAGGCCAAAAGTCAGTTACCAGGAAGCCATGATCTGCAACAGCAATTTTTCTGTCTTTCCGAGGGAACTTAAAAGGTGCGGATTTAAAGAGAAGGCCTGCCCTACAACTGGAGCGAACTCGATCAGAGATCAAGTCATCTTTCAACTGCAAACTCAGTCTCAGGGCAACTGCTATTCTAAATGGAAAAAGAAAAACAAAACCAGGCGGGCCGTCCAGCCGTGCACCTCTCCAGCGCACCTGTGCGCGGGCGCGGGGCGGGGGGAGAGTGGGCCCCCGGGAGGCCGAAGACACCGGGAATAACCCCGGAGCGGCTCAGCTTTCTAACTGACAAGCGCAAAATTCACAGCCGATTTGGTTTCCACCAGACTCCAAGTAACTAAGCAGCACCGCGGCCTTCCACTTTCGGTTTTCGCGTTTCAGCTCCCGATCCTCTGCACAGGACCAGGAACAGGCGGGGTCGGTCGCTCCCGGGGCCCGCGCCCCCTCCGACTCCGCGCCGGCGCCCGGGCGGCCGCAGCGCAGGCGCTGGGGCCGGGTTCTGGGCCGGCCGGGTCCGGCCGGCGGCTCACCTGTGCGCCGTTGTACTGCTCAAAGAAGAAGAGCACCGCGCTCTGGTACACGCTGTAGATGTGGTCGTCCACGCGCTGGTACAGGCGCGCGGGCAGCAGCATGGACAGCAGGCGCCAGGCGCCCCACAGCAGCACGTAGGTGGGCGCCGAGCCCAGCAGCACCAGGCCCGGCAGCAGGGAGCGCATGGAGTAGGTGTGGAGCACCAGGGACAGCAGCATCCTCGCCCGCGCGCGCCTACCCGCGCCCCGCCGGCTGCCGCTGCCCGCGCCGCCGCGCCCCGCACGCGCGCCCGCCGCCCGCTCCGGACTTCCGCCGCCAGCCGCATGGACCGCGCCGCCGCGAACGGGCGGGAGACGGCGGGCGATGGAACCAGGCCGAGCGCCGCGCGACCGTCAAGGGCCGCTTTCACCTCATGACCTGGGCTGGTCACCAGGTACCTCGCCGGGGGCGGAGCTCCGCGGCAATAACGAGCGCGAGGATTGGCCGGCCGTCGCCATGGTTCTCCACCGGGGGTGGGGCCAGGCGTGCTGACCCACCCTCTGATTGGTCAATACCGGCCATCGGTTGCAGTGTAACAGCCGCCAGGGTGCGCGTGGGTCTCAGTCGTCGCCAGTACGCATGCTCGTTAGTTGGGTGCTGGGGCAGCTAGGGTAGACGCGTGCAGGATCTGCCGCGTGAACCTTGAGATGGGGACAGCAGCCCGGCACGAGCAGGGCAGCAGGGCCCGGCCGGGCAGCTGCAGGACCTGGGTCCTCCCCAGGCCCGTCGCCACCCCGGTGTGTATTCGGCCCCAGCAGTCCCAGCAGGAGTGATGGTCATCACGTGTTGGTGCACACCCGAAGACTTTGCACGAGGGCGCTTCCACCTCGATGTGTTAGACCTTTCCCAACTCACTCTTGCTTTGCCTTCCAAGCCCTTGCTGTGCGATCTGACTTCCTTAATTGGAAGGTGACTGGGTTTTCTGAGAAGTCCTTAACTTCCTTCCATAAATACTGCGGCACAGAAGGGGGGGGGGTGTAGCTGCCTGGCTGGCCCGGGAAGGCGGCCACCGCCTGGGTCCTGCTGTGCAGCCCACCCCGCGCTAGAATGGACACGGCAGGCCCTGTGTGCGCTTAGGCTGGGCCATGCGTGGTGGACAGAGAGTGTGCTTTGCTGACAATTGCCCTGTTCCCACCTCTCCCTTGCCCTTCAAACTTCATCTCCTGGCCGTGGTCAGCTCTACTGCCACAAGAGTTCCTATCCACATGGCTGGACCGGTGCATCTTCCCAAGGTGCCACCCTGCACCAGGGCCTAACAGTGATCAACTGGGGTCTCTTCCTGCCTTTCTAGAGTGATATTTAACAAGCAGTTTCTGTAGGGTGAGAAAAGGGAGCTTCATGGGAACAGGGACACTTGTCAGAGACATCACAGGACATAGAATGGCTCTCCAGCTGTGCTGTTAATTTGAGGAGGCTGAAGGGCAGCCTAGGCAGAGTGTTGGAGAGGAGCGGAAGAGCCCGCCAAGGACCCCAGGCCTGAGATGAGGGCCAGTGGAACCCACAGGAGGCACGGCAGTGGGACACACTTTTCAAAAGAATGCATTTGGTTGACCCTGTAAAGACTGCTGTATTCTGCCCTAACACATGCTTGACATCTGAAGGTCTTTCATCATCAATTTAAACAGCTGCAGAGAGAGGTTCTGAGGAGCTATAAATAGCATTTGGAAGGTAAAGTGGTAGCAAATGTCTAAGTGGACCAGTGGATTGGAAATACCATGGTGATTTCATATTTGCCATAGTCCCTTTAAAAATACTGCAGTCTTTTTACCAGCTGGAAATTTTATATTGCTCGTTTTTGTCCTTGAAAACACTTTCTAATTCTACTTCTATCACAATTCTTAGTGGACTGTACTTATGTACAGCAAAATCTTTTATGGAGCAGAACACATCACTAGAGTTCTAAGGGAAGTTTTTCTGGATTGCAAGGTCCTTAGCACTGCAGAATTTAATCACTAGGTGTCACATCTAATTGGATTCTAAGTTAAAAAAAGAAAGTTGTGCTGGAAATGCATCACTTAACAATGCTTTAGCCAGGAATATAGCTCAGTGGCACAACTCCTGCCTGGCAAGTGAAAGGTCCTGACTTTGGTTGCTGCAACCAAAACAAAAAAACCAGCGCTTTATTTGAAAAAATTGGGTATCTGTTAGTGCTCTTGAGTTATTATCTCTTTCTGCCTCAAGGCAGCATTGTTCAGGCTGGTAAGATTTGGGGGGTCCTAGGTGAGAAGTTGGGGTTCAGGCCATTTTAGGAAGATAGTTTCAGGAAGTCTGAGGAACCAGAAATTGAATCCCTTAAAACTATTTGTGACCGCATCTTTCCAAATCTTCAAGGATATTCACAGCCTACACCAAACGAGAAGCCAGATAGATTTAAGGATCAAATACAAGTTTATAAAAGTAAAAACAAACATACTAGGAAAATCCCTTATTTTATAATCTTGAGGTAGAGAAAATCTTACTAGGGCTGATCCTAAGATCATTAATCTTGAGAAGCACTGACTCCTGAGAGATCTTGGAGTCTTCCCTGGCTCCTCTGACCTCAGAGTGGAAAGGCCTGCTGACCCAGTCTTGCGATGACAGCTCTGAGCCTTTGTGTTATGAGGTCTCAGTCGTGAGGACAGCTGCCACCTGCTCAGGTGTGCAGTGACTTGATCACCCTCAGTGGGAACAGAGGAGCCTGCTTGTCCTGTGGAGGAACAGAAAGACCCTAAGCTACAAGATCCACAGCTGCTTCAGACTGGAACAGGTACTCTGCCTCTGCAGTTTGTTTTCATTTATACTATTATTTATATTTGTCAAGTTAAGGCATTCTACCCTGTTTTCATTTTTTGTTTATTTTTGAAACAGAGTTGTGCTGCGTAGTGCAGCGTGGCCTCAAACTGGTGACCCTCCTGCTTCAGCCTCCTGAGTGCTTAGTTGTCAAGGGTGTACTGTCGTCATACCTAGATCAGTAACATTTCCGGTGTTGGATGCAGTTGGAAGTCGCCTCCCATGTCCACTTTCTCACCCTGAGGTTCCAAATGTACACTTTCCAGTTGATCGAAGCCACTGCTAAGATGCTTTGGGAGGAAGCTGATCTCTGCCCTCCTGGCACAAGTGCAGTCAGCTAGGGCAGTATGTGCTCAGTGTGGACCTGGACCCTTTCTAGACCCTGTCAGGCAGCATGAGGTACAGACACCATGGGGGCAAAGTGCCGGCCCCTCCGCCTGCATTTGGGCAACACGTGCTGCCTTCACCACGCTCATTACCATCGGCTCACTGCAATCAAGAGACCAAGACGTGATCTCACACAAGGAACAGCCCCAGCGACGCAGCCCAGAGCTTCACTGGAGCAGTGCAAGTGATCCGAGGAAGAGCAGACCTGGCCACAGGCAGAGGTCGGAGCTGCCTGCTGCTGCCTTCACCGGAGGACGATGACTCCAAACTGGTGACTGTGACGCTTTCTCCATGCAGCAGGACTCTGTCCCCTCAGGGATAACCCGGTCCCCAAGGTTTCCCAGGGAATCTCTGAATTCCAGGAAATGCACCCTTGCTGCTAGCCTGGGTACCTACCCAGCGTGCAGGGCTCTGGGGAGCCTCAGGTGGTGACGGCCTCTGCACAACCTGGGCAGGCAAGGCGTCCTTAGCGCATGTGCTGCCCGGAATCAAATCATGTCCAGTCAGCAGTTCTCCCAGCGTGAGCCAGGCCCATGGGTGCTAGCACCACAGCCCCAGGCTGCATGGGTAGAACTGCCGACTATGAGGGCTGCATACTGTGAAAAAGCTGCAGGCTCCAGACCTCTAGTGTGATGTGAGGAGTGCAGGCGGCCATCCACGAAGGCCATGAAACACGCCCCCCTGCTCCCTTCCAGTCACATCTGTCCAGACGTTCACTGCCTCCCCCAGGGACTAGCGGCACTGGACAGAAGCAGCTGCAGAATTCTGTCCTGTTGGACCTCACGGAGCACAGCGAACAGGGAGAACAGCACCAGGCTTCTTACCAAATTTGACATTTTTTTTTATACCAGTGATCAAACTCACAACCTTGCATTTGCCAGGCAAGTGCTTATGCCATTGAGCTAAACTCCCGGGCCCTGCATTGTTTTTTAAAATATAGTTATTTTTAATGACGAGTGTAATTTATCAGAAAAATGAATGTATTTCCATGGTTTAAGAGGAATCAGTGAAGGCCATGGTGAAGGAGGCAGAGTTTGAACCTAGCCGACATCCAGAACACAGAACGGATGGGAAGCTCTTGTCCTGAGTGCCACTCACAGGGAGGCCACAGCAGCAAAATCAGTCAGACACCACCCTCCATCTGCCCTCTGCTGCTGGCTTTGAGCTGTGTTGTGATGATTCTTCTTCATCTTGCTGTAATGCTAGACGGTATTGTATGTGACTTTAGGGATGTGTATGGTTTAGAACAAGTGTCAAAGAGCACGTTGGTGTTGAGAGGTTTATTCTTAGAAACCACACTGGGATTCATCGATTGTAAGACTGCTGTGTTCAGCAGCATTGTCTCCCCGACCAGTGTCTCCAATCATTTCTATTTTGAAAGTATCCCTTCCTCTTCGCTCCTGACCCCTCCCAAGGTGGCAGAATTGCGGGTGGTGACCTCTGAGAGCTGCCCTCACCTGTGTGAGGGCACTAGCTCCATTGCAGAGACCTGTGCCTTGACCCCAGCACATGGCTGTAGCCTGGGGTCACTTTTCTGTCACTTTCCTTTGGTGGCACCCAGAAACCAGGAAGGGTTGGGGTCTGTGCGTAGATTCCCAGCCCCCAAACGGGTGCACGGTGAAGGCTCAAAGGAGGGAGACACACAGCATGATCTTTAGGGCTGCAGGAGGAGTGAGATCCTTGGCAGCACACAGAACTCTGCTAGCTGGCCAGCAGATTGACACTGGGCAGCCCATATTTTTTTTTTTTTAAGAGATTAAGACAAAAGAGGACAGAATAAAGCAGATCAGAACATAACAACGTAAGCAACATAGCACTTTTAACAAGACAACCAGATATTAACAGTAGCTACCACAACGTCTCTTTCTTTGAAATAGTTGAGCATACCTTCACATACTATAGTATCAAACATAACAAAATATTATAAAACCATTCATGAGAATGAAAGTATTACAGGGCATTCAGAACCAAATAACGGAGAATGAACAATGGCTACTATATTATCTCATTTTCCATAGAAAACTTGTTTATACTATCACCCATATTAATATCCAACAAGACACAACATGATAGAACCAATGGAAACAGAAGAACAAAAGCATGGTAGGACTTCAAAGCAAGATGCTATCAAATCAGCAATGGCTGCCATAATGTCTTGTTTTTTTCAAAATAGCTGTTCATACCATCACACATAATAAGATCAAACAAAACAGAATAAAACCATTCCAACTAAGGAATGAAAACATCGTAAGGCTTCAGCCAGTCAGAACAAGCAAGGAGCTGAGTGGAAAACACAGGAAACCTGAGCAGGATCTTGGGCGGGTCCAAGGACTGCTCAGAGCAACAGATGATGCTAATTAAGGAAACCATCCAGAGAGGCTCCAGGTGGCCTCAGCTGTGGCCTGTCCTACCCCCTGAGATGTCTCATTCTCAGTTCAGTCATGCCCCGGCCATGCCACAGTCCTGCACGTGTACTCAGCTTCAACGGCTCCAACAGAGGAGGACCTTGCTGTGCGCAGGGCTCACTGGGGATATGGAGCTCCCGTCTGCCTGCCTTCATCTTCCAAGCCACGTTGGTGCCATTTTTACCAGAATCGAACTCAGGCCCTTGCTTGACAGGCAGGCGCTGTGATGCTGAGCTACATCCCCAGCCCCCTTTATTCTCAAAATTCAAAGCCTAGATTTTTAGATACTTTTTTCCTTTTTTCAAAATTTCTGTTGTTTCCTGAATGGCCTGTTGCATTTAAGTTACCCTTCTGCCAGGAGCTGTATTTATTGGGTAACATAGCTGGAAAAATATTCGTCCATTAACATGTTTCAAACCTGGATGTGTCTGTAGTTTCTGCCCTTCCTCCCAAACCCTAAGTAAAGATACGTTGTTGCCACTGCCATCAAGTCATCCTACCTTTAGACATACTACCTGTATTTTAGATTACATTTTCTTTTGAAAAATCACCTCGAGATTTTGTTATTTGTTCCTTTTTGGTGACTATAAAGTAATACCTGCACTGGGCCAGTCACCAGTGATGTCACCAGGAGAGGAGGGACGGGTCCTGCTGGCCTGGGGGAGCCAACGCCACGCAGGGAGGGAGGCAGCCAGACTGCTTCATAGTCAGCTGGGTCACAGCGGGTGAACAAGATGCAAAGGGGTGACAAGAGCAGGAAGATGGGAAGGGGGAAGAGAGACTTGCGGGACGGCCAGGACCTGAGTCTCTGTGGACCCGGCTTCCTTTCTCTCTCCTCTTGCGTTTCCTGCAAGGCTGCCTAGCCCAAGAGACAAGAAGGCCATGGGAGCCTTTTTTTCATGATCGCAAAGCCCAGGAAAGGGCCCCTGTGTGTCGAGGGCAGGCAGTGTCTTTTCTCTTTTATATTTCCTGTGTTGGCCCAGCCATGAAGCCAGCTTTTCGCTGCAGAGCTGCAGGACCACAGAGGGTGCAGACAGCTCATGTCCCAAGAGGAGTCTGTCCTAGGCTCAGACCTCGGGAAGGGAGAAGCAAGCTGCAGTCCCCAGCTCCTCTCTGCCTGTGACAACACAGGCCAGGCCAGGGCACATGGACAGCAGAGAGACCTGCCCCAAGGCAGCAAATCGTCCATGGGTGGCAGGAAGGAACTCAGTGGATCTGCTGAACCCACAGAAACGCAGCATTCTTACGAGCAGGCTGAAGCCCTGGCTCTGGAGGTCCCCACAGACCAGGCCCAGCCACCATGCCCTGAGGCTAGGGTGACCGAGGAATAGAGCTTCACTCAGCAGGCTAGGCTAGAGGGAGAGGGGCAGAAGTTCAAGGTCTGAGGTTTTATAGGAAAGGGGGGCAAAGGCAGAGCTTGTGTTGGTAGCAGGCAAGGTAGGTGTGTCTGGCTGATCATTATCTCAGGACTGGTTCTGCAGGTCCTCAGTGACCATGGGGGGGGAGGACAGGACAATGACTGCTAGGCTTGGGCATGAGCTCAGTCTGGGGCATCTAGAGCCCACAGGGAGCCGGTGAGTAGAGACCAGGAAGGTGGAGACTTCACTCCCAAGTACTGGAAACCAAGTACTTTAGAGCTGGCAGAAGAGAATCCCTGCAAACCCTGAGAAAGATGCCACTGCCAACTTGGTGGGCACAGTCTGGGCGGGAGCTGGGCCAGCAGGGCCAAGCAGGCAGCCGATGAGTTCTATGGGAGACAGGGAAAGACAGCCAGACCTCACCTGCTGTTAGTTCCTCACGGCACCTGCAGGCCCAGCCATGAGCCCGTTTTATCATCTCAGGCCCCCAGTGCTGGGTCACAGCAGTCCGTGTGTGCAGCACGTGAGCGCCAGATGCCAGGCAGATGTGACCACCTCCCTGCCTGGACAACTGAGGAGCTCAGACTCACCGGTCCACAGAGGTGGTGGGACCACGCCTGAAATAAGTGAGAAGACAAAAGGAATGGTCAGCAGAGAAGTACAAAGTAGAGAAGGGTAACATGGGTATTTTGGGACTGAAACAGATGTCATAGGAAAACGTGAGTGTCCCCTGCCTGTCTCGGTAGCAGAATGAGATGTCACAGACATTGGAGAATGAGGTACAGCAAAGGCCCAGTCAGGAGTGTGGGAAGAGCAAAAATGCAAAGCAAAATGAGACCCAGAGTTCCCAGAGGAGGCAGACCCAGAAGAGAATGCAAACAGATTCCCTGGGGGAAGTTATTTGAAAGATAAAAACATGCTTAAAACTCAACCAACCGTTGAGGGCCTGGTGGCTCCCGCCTGTAATCCCAGTGAAAGAATTTTGGCCCAGACAGGACACTGTAGCTGGTAAAGCTCAGGTGGAACCAAGGAGTTCTATCTCCCCCACCCCTAGGAATTTACCTATGGCGCCAAAAGAATACCAATGGGCTACCTGTGCATCCCTAATGCCCCCTCAGGCTCCACCCCAAACCTAAGCTACATATATGCCTCCACTCCACATGTTCCACGGAGAGATTGCTGATGGGGGGGGGGGGATGCCACGCCCCAGGGGATTGGGGGTGTCTCTCCCTGCATTCTCAAAATAAAGGTCATTTATATTTCATACTTCTTATCTTTTCAGTTGCCGCTGGTCCCCGACAGTTCTATCACCCAGCACTTGGGAGGCTGAGGCAGGAGGATCCTTGCAAGTTCAAGACCAGCCTGGGCTGTAACAAAGTGAGCTCAAGGCCAGCCTGAACTGCGTAGAGAGACCCTGTCTCAAAAGGACAAAAAAAAAAAAAAAAAAAAACCAACCAACCAAACAAACAAACAAAAAACCCTCAACCAATCTGGGGAAAAACAGCAGGCTCAGCAAGCCCTGATTTGGATGACTTTGGAGAAAGCTGTCCTGAAAGATGGCATCCTCCTTCTGCAGAGGAAAAGAGGAGGAAGAGGTACAGAGGATACAACCGGCAGCACCCAGGGGAAGGAGGAGTTGAAGGATTCTCATGTGAACATGGGGGCCTGAAGCAACAGAGCAGCTTTTAAGCAAGGGAAGAAAAAAAGCATACACCCACCCCAAAGCCCTGTCATGGCACCATTCTACACCTCAAGTGCGCTTCATGGGATGTGGCTCTGCAGCAAATGTTTGGGCAGGCACCGGGTGGCTTCCATCCCAGCACTGCACACACACACACAGAGCACCCCCTTGGTGAGGGTGAGACACACTTTCGAAGGAAGGAAGACTAAGAGAACGTGACACCAGCACGTCGGCTTGGGAAGAAGTGCTGAAAAAGGTCTCCAGGCTGTGGAAGATGAGACTCCTGGGCTGAAGCCCAAGAGTGGTGGTAAGTGGAGAGCGCTCCACTGTTAGCAGCTGGAAGATGTGTCAGTATGGGTAGCAGACACTACAACGTTGCGCAGTGAGGTTCCGGCAGCTGTGGCTACCCCGTCCCCCACCCCTGCCCATTCACAGGGTACAACTTAACCTTGGGGTGCTGGGTGGACCAAGAGGCTTTAGCAGGTGCCAGACGCTCTCCCGGGCCAGAGCGGGACCTCACAGGAGGTGTGAAGGACCTGGGGTCCCTTTGCTCTTCTGGGACACAGCAAGAGCTGCTGCCTGTGCAGCCTGCAGGACTTCTTGTCCTCCCCCCCCCCCCACAGCCCCTCCCCGGGGGTGAAAAGTACATTTCTGTTACTTATAATTTACTCACCTGGGGTCATCTGCCACAGCTGCCCCAAATAGTAAGCTGGTTTTAAGTAAACAAACTGTAGCAGTCCAAGTAATTATGAAATAAAAACAGGAGAAGTGGAGAGGTCTGTAGTAACTGATCTCAAGACCTAACCAGATGGTAACCTAGACTGATGCCAGTGACGGGCTGAGCATGAACCAAACAGAACAGAAGTGCTCAGGGACAGGCCACACTGCGATGGTCAGCTGGGTTTTTTGTTTTTGGTTTGGTTTGCCTTTTGAGACAGGGTATCACTATGTAGTTCAGATTGGCCTTGAACTCATTATGTAGCCAGGCTGGCCTTGAGTTCACTGCAATCCTCCTGCCTCAGCCTGCTGAGTGCTGGGATTATAGGTGTACCCCATCTCACCCAGATCAATATTTTATCAAAGTGAGATGGTTTGTTGGAAATAAATGATAGTACTGTACCAACTGGGGATCCACGCTGAGGTTAAGGAACTCGCCCTATGCGCACAACTCATATCAAAACTTACAGTGGCTTGTAGACCTAAATTTAAAATACAAAACTATAGAACTCTTAGAAGAGGAGAAAATCTTTATGATACTGAACTAGGCAAAAAGTCTTATTTTTGTCATCAAGAGCATAGTATTTTTTAAAAACTAACAGATTCATCTTCATAAAAATTAAAAACTGTTTTGAGGAGGTCCTGCTCTAAAACATGAAAGTACAAGCCATGGACTGGCAAATCTGGCAAAGGATTTATAAGCGTAGACAGGATTCTCAGAACTCACGAAGGCAAAACCTCTTCTTAGTAAGTAGAAGGTTCACTGACCTCAGGGAGGGTCCCAGAAGGACGGTGGCACCAAGGGTCACTGGTGCAGTGCAGATTACAGCCACTGGGGTTGTAGCTGTGCCCGCCAGGGTAGTGGCAGCAACCACACAGCGAGGACCTGGAGGACACAGAAATTCTCGGGATAAAGACATAACTAGGACAGTAGGTTACCCTGAGCCACTGCGCTAGATGAGGGAGCTTTGGGTCACCCCACTGAGGTGGGTCCCTAATCAAGAGCCAGCTCTCCACACCCAGCCCTGCTCTGGATTTCTTGCAAAGAGAATGTCAAGCTTCACAGCAGAATACTACAGTAATTCACTTCTTTTCATTACTTTGTATTTGCTCTAATGTATACTGAGGTAATGAGTGTGTGTGGCCCCTTTTGATTGTCAAAATTAAACCACAGGATCCAGAGTTACCTGAACTGCAAGAGGTGAAGTTCTGACCCTCGGCAATACCTGTCAGGACCTCAGCATCCTGGCTCTTCCAGGGGAGGAGGCTCCGGGAGCTCTCCAGGGCCCAGAGGGGCTGGGACAGGGAGTGGGGCGGTGGTGGGGACTCAGAATGGGCAGTGTGTTACCCGGAGTGCTCTGGGCTGCAAAGCCCCAGCCTCTCTGCCCCTAAGGAAAGCCTTCAGCTGGGTTTTTAAAGGGAAAGATGTGACACCACGCCAAACAACATCACATGAGATCAGTGTGGCCAGTAGCAGCTCGCTTGACAGAAGGAGAGTGGGGACGGTTGGTGAAGCCTGCTTTCAGCCGGCTGCAGAAGGAGCTGACCCTAGACTTGGGTGGCTGAGAGTGGGGAGGATTTCCTGCCATGCTGGGCCCAGGGTGATGGCATCCTGTGGTGCTGGTGGTGCTGCCTGCACCGGGCTTGGCTGGGCAGTGGCGTGTGGCCTCCCTCACACCAGCCCCTTGGGGTGGCAGGGCCTTTCTCTGGCACAGCCCAGGCTTCACGGAAGTGAACATGGACCCAGAAAAGGCCAGCACACCTCACCTTCTCTGTCCATCAGAGGAGGCCTCAGAGCTATCCAAGTTCTAGTAGGAAGTGGATTCTGTCTCCATGGGATACAGCAGAGCACACAGTGGTGAGCAGTGTGGCCAGCAGTCACTCTGAGCTGGCTTCCCTGCCTACCTATCTGCTGCACCTCTGTCCTCCACACTAGTGTCAACCCCACAGGGGCAGGGGCTCATCTGTTTGTTTCTGCTGCATTCCTGGCACCCAGAACTGTGTCTGGGCCTGGAAGGAGCTGAGTGCCTGCTTGACAGGGTGGAAATGTCACCTGTGTCCGCTTCCATGCCTGCCCATGTATCGCCTGTGCATGCCCTGCTGAAAAATGGACACAAACGTGGGCCCAGTGACTCCAGGACTAAAGATCACTGTACGATCTATGAATAATTGAGAGGTATTTTGGGGAAAGTTTCTTCCTCTTTACGCAGCTGGTTTGCTTTTTATGTTTCTTCTAGGCATTGACACAACCAGTTGCCAGCCATTTAATCTCCACGCTGCTCGGTGTAAGAGTTCAGGCCTTCATTAAACCTCTGTCCCTAAGCCATTCCTCTTTGCCCCATCCTTTGTACTTACTTCAACACTCTCAAAAGCAATGATAGACAAATTGGTATGAAATTCTTATGTGGAGTCCACATAATAATTTAAATGACTATATAGCATATAGAGGCTGTTAGAGATAGCTCAGCCCCAATTATTTCTGTATGTTTCTCATAGCATTTTACCCACACTCCTGCGTAACACTTATTTTTAAAGACTTAACTTTTTTGAAGTTGTGGCAAATGCCTGCAGCTTCCAGCACACCTCTAAACCGCTGTGTGCACAGCACAGGGTACTCATGAATGTCCACCCTCGACTCCTGAACCCAGCTCACCAGTTCCCCTCTCTTCTGGGGCTGTGAACAGGAGGCTGGGAGCCCCGGAAGAGGGCCATGTGTGTCTATGTTGGTGCGTCTGGCTTGTTTCACGCAGGCAACATCTTCAGGGTTTGTGTATCCCTTTTTTCCATCTGATCTTCTGTGCGCAGTGTGGGCTCCTGGGGGACCTGCACTGTCCTCCTACCCTGCACCTCACACCTCCTGTCTGCAGGAGGCTGAGATGAGCGCTGGCTGAGTGACTGTATGAAGGGGGGGGGGGACACAGTAGAGGCTGCTGTACGCACAAATTGGAGGGGGTCCTAGCTTCACAGAACAAGCAGCAGGTGGATTGCTGTACAGAACATCCACAGGACACCTAAACGGAGACAGTCAATTAAAGTGGACCACAGAGCTTAACACATCTCAGAAAAGACACCAACAGAGGGCACCGATGCGAGTGCAACCCCCAGCCAAACACAACTCGGGAAGCAGCCTCAGTGCGGGACAGTGAGCTGCAGACTGCCCCAAACCAAGACAGAGACAGAGACAGCCAAAGACAGGTAGAGACATACAGAGACAGCCAGAGACAGAGACAGCCAGAGACAGCCAGAGACAGACACAGACAGAGAAGCAGCCTCCAATGGGCGGACCTCAGCCTGGAGCAGAGGTTGGTGGTGCCTGGCCACTGGTGTTTCCCTCACGCCCAGTATTTTCCCAGAGTTCAAGACTCGCATCTACCCAGAAGCCTGCACACCAATCACAGCAGCCTGTGCTCGCCCCCGAGTCTTGGGGTGCCCGAGCAGCCTTCAGGTGGTGAGGAGCGGACTCCCAAGAGACATGTTACAAGCTCCAGGGAACTGCGCTGTGTAGCTGTGCATAGCTGTGCACTGTCCCCAGCAAGGACAGTGCTTAGACAGGCTGCAATGGGCTGTGTCCCCATGGAGGGGATCTGGCCTGCAGGAGGGCAAAGCGATGGGCCAGGCCAGGCGGGTGGGCAGTGCAGGCCATGTGGGACCTGCATGTCCCCAGGAAGACTGCATGGCCTGACTTGCCACGTGTGGTGACTATGTCCAGCACCACTTGAGGCACCAGGCGCTCAGGGCCGTCCAGGAACCTCTGCACCTTTTGATCAATGCTTTCTGTAATCGAAACTGCTCCGAAAAAACTATTAATTGTAACAAATCATCAATATTTAAAAATTTTTATAGACCTTTGATTGCTCCTCCCCCCATTTAACCAAAATACCAGACAGGAATGCAATCTGCACTAACGTTCACCGTGCGTAGGGCCCTTCTGTCCCTTCTGTGGGCTCACTTTCCCGGGACGCCTCACCTTCCCAAGTCGCCGCCAGCAGAGGGCGCCGGATGGCGGGCGGCGCGGGCTCTGCACCCTGGGCTGGCCGGGGTCTTGGTCGGCGGGGCCCTGGCCCCGGGTCGTGGGGCTCTCGGAAGGTTCGTGGAGAAGCCGCGCTGGCTTCTAGATGTCCCCGAGTGACGGAAGGCGGAGGAACCCTATTTTCCATTTCATAACCGCCCTGCCCGTCAACAAGAAGCCTAAGCGAACGAGTGGGCGCAGGCTTCCTTCTGTGCTCCAGAAGAAAATTCCCAGTAACTTGAGAGGATGGGTGAAGACCGCTTACTTTGTCAGTGTCTTTCCCAGAGCCACCTCCTTCCATTTCAACGTCTAACTGAAACTGCCAGGTGGCGTGCTCTCAGTGTTTCCAGCCCTACAGGAGGCTCGCTGCTAACGGTTCATTAAAGCCCTCCAGTGCCTTCCCAGGGGATGGCCGAGAAAGGAAATGGGGAATGTTCCTCTAGAAAGCACGAAGTGGGAAAATGTTTAGAGCTATTTATAGCAGCACTTAGTTGTGGAAATCCCAGACCTTAGCCTCTATTTATAGTCGTTCTGCGGGTTAAAAGGGTGAAAGCAGAAATCTCGAAAATGCACTGTCCTGTCTGCAGCAGTTAACGCTAACAAGCTGTCTCCGCGGTTAGGATAAGCAGATGCTTGCTAGAGGGGCTGGAAATCACGATGAGTGGCCCCAGCTTCCAGTAAACGCTGTGTAGGTTGAAAAGCAATGATTTCCCTGATGAAGTGATGCTCACCAGGCCTGCCTGTTTTCAGGTTATCTGCAAACCGGATTCCATGTGTGGCTGTGGGGTTTTGAGGAAGGTGTGTTTTGAGGGCCACACATGGATAGTGAATTTCCTGTGCTGGCTGACTGACCCCAGGGAGGCAGGAAGACCGAGCCCCCTGCGGCATGCCTTAACCTTGCTCTGGGGTGCCGGCCCAGGCACAGACCTGGTCCAAAGGTGGCACACACTGCCTGGAGTGCAATGCCACTGGGTGGCCTGAGAAACTGATGATGTCAGCTTTTGCATTTTGGTGGGGCCAGGGATTGAACCCAGGATCTTTTCTCTGAGCTGCATCCCTAGCACCTGGCAAGCCCCTCCACTCTTTTAATTTTGAGACAGGTCTTGCTAAGTTGCCAGGTTACCTAGGCTGGGCCTGACCTTGCAATCTTCCTGACTCAACCTCCCAGAGAACAAGGATTACAGGTGTGCAGCCCATGGCCAGCCTGCGTTGACTTCTCAGTGAGCTTCTTCACCTGGTGAGAAGACCTGGGAGGAGGCAACTGCCGTAGGGGGTGGAGCACCAAGATGGCTGGGTGGGGTGACAGATTGAGTGGTGTGGTCCTCGAAACGCTTGGGCGGGCTCCCTGGGTGCTCTGCCCCAGTATAAGCTCAAAGCCTGGTGTGGTGGTTACTACGTGGGAGGATGGAGCAGAACTGCTCGTTCTGGACTTCACAGTGAAACTCCGTCTCAAAATGAAATTTCTCAAGGGCCAGGCTGTGGCTTGCCAGTTAAGTGCCCCTGGGTTCCATCCCGGTGCCACAGAAACAGATGTCACCCCTGAGAATGGACCTGGCAGTTGTGGGGAGGTGGCTAAGTCATGGCACTGCCCGAAGACTGGCCTGAGGCGCTGGTGACCTGAGCACGGACATGTGGGGAGACAGGGCTATGCATGCCCAGCACACTGGACATTTGGGGTATGCACCAGCCATCCCACTCTGCTGCCTGGGTGACGGCTCAGGCCCAGCACAGAGATAGCACACACTGGAACCCCCTGGCCAGCTCCCTGTCTCCGACCTGTCACTCAGCTGTCTTCTCTCCTATCTCATGAGCTTGTTTCCTATGGCCACTGGAGTGTGATGGAGGGGCCAGGCCTCAGTCTGCCTGGCTTCTAGCAAAGGGCTGTGATGTCCTTGGAGCTGCCTGTGCTGTGCTGGGAGGGAGCCCTTGGGCTGGAGTCCTCACCTGGCTTCTGCGGTCAGCACTGCAAAGTTTCAGGCAGTTGTTCAGCCTCTGTCTCTGTCTCTCCCATTTAAGATGCAGCTTGTGCCAGACCCCCACTGTCTTAGTTACTTTTTACTTGTTGCTGAGACAAAATACCTGAAGCCCAAAGTTGGGAAAGGAAAGTTTTATTTCTTACAGTTTTTGGAGGTTTCAGTCCGCACTCAGTTGGCTCCAAGGCAGGCAAGGTTTGACTGGGCCGCAGTTCATGGCGGCCACCAACAGCAAACAGGAACTGGCAAAGAGCAAGACACACCTTCTTCCTGCCATTACATCACATCCTGGCTATGTGGGTGGAGCACTGACACCATCAATCCAAGCACTATACAATGAACTATCACAAATGAACAATGCAAACTCATGAGGCCTGGGGGACACAGACATAAACCATGACATTCTACCCCTGGCCCCCAGGACTCATGTACATCCTTTATACAAAAGACATTTAGTCTACCTCCAAGAGTTGTCAAAGTCCTAAGTTTCAGCATTGCTGAACAGTCTAAGTCCCAAGTCTTCTCCAAGATCTATGGCAAACTCTTAACTATAACCCACTGTACATATGAAACAAGATTAAACATTTCTGAAAAGGCACAAGATAAACATTACCATTCCAAAAGTTACAAATGGGAATATAAAGCATTGGAAACAAAGCAAGTCCAACATCCAGCAGGACGAACATTCATTAAGTCCTAGAGTTCCATGCTCAGCGTCTGAAGCAATCTGGTTGCAAGCTCCAAAAGGCTTGGGTGATTCCACCCCCATGGCACTTCTGGTGATTTGAACTCCTACAGCTTTTTTCTTAACTCCTCTCTGCTCGCTTTTTGTAGCTTTTCTTGGATCATCCACATTCCTGGCTTTTCCAAACTTCTGGGGTCTCCACTGCACCTTGGGCTTCACACTTACATCTTCACAAATTGTCCTCTCAAGGGCACACTCTTGGCTTGCCAGGCCCTTAGCAATCGAGGTGGAAGCTGTCTTACCCTCAGAATTTGTGCATTTTCCTTGCACCTAAAATCAACACCTTATGGATGCCGCCAAGGTTTGCTGCTAGCTGGAGCAGTTAGCCAGGCTTTTCTCTCTCTTGGCTGTAGGGCTCAGTTGCCTGGATTGCAGGGCTCTGTTTACCTGATTGTGAGAAAAAGCTTCTCTATGTTGCTGCCATTCTGGAACCTCATGTGGCTGCTGTCACCACTCTGGAACATGGCACTCTGCAGCTTTTCCCTCTCAGTAAATTCTTTCACCTTTGCTGTGAGGCTGCACAGGCCCGCTTCCTGGGATGCCCCAGGGCCATCTTTCTTCTCTCTCTGTTTCTCCTCAGGAATCAAAACCTCAACTCTGTCTTTACAATCCACAGCCTTCCTGGAATTTTCCTTCTGGCCAAACTCACAGTATTGCAAATTGTCCTGCTGGGCTCTTATCTCTTGATTTGCATAAAGCTGGTTAAAAGCCCCCAACGATAGCCATGCCACAAGCTCAATATTCCATTGCTTTTTAATTTCCTTTTCAAGATTAATCAGTCCATTGCCCTCTGTCTCAGTTTCAGGCAAAGTCTCTGGGCATGAACAAAATGCAGACAAACTTTCTGCCAAGCCAGAACACACATCATGTGGAGTCCAACAACCAATGCAGTCCTTCTTCCCAGCAGAAACCTCCCAAGCCTGGTCTTTACCATAAGGCTTTCTATCAGCCTTCTGGTCTCCTGAGCTCTGACCAGAGTCTCCTCTACAGAATAGCCTAAGCTTCTCCAGCTCTACGCATCCAGGCGACATGTGCAAACCTTTCCAAATTCTGCCCACAAGCCATTTCCAAAGCCTCTTGAAAAACATGGCCAGATATAGTCACAGCAAATGACCCCACTCCTCGGTACCAAATTCCTGTCTTAGTTACTTTTTACTCTTTGCTTAGACAAAATACCTGAAGCCCAAAGTTGGGAAAGGAAAGGTTTGTTTCTTACAGTTTTTGGAGGTTTCAGTCCGCACTCAGTTGGCTCCAAGGCAGGCAGGCTTGGCTGGGCCACAGTTCATGGCGGCCACCAACAGCAAACAGGAACTGGCAAAGAGCAAGACACACCTTCTTCCTGCCATTATATCACATCCTGGCTCCACCCCTATGTGGGTGGAGCACTGACACCATCAATCCAAGCACTATACAATGAACTCATGAGGCCTGGGGGACACAGACATAAACCATGACACCCACCAAGGCTCCCAGCTCCCTCCCGGGTTGCACTGGGCTCCAGACAGGTCATCCTGATCCTCAGAGCTGTTCCTCTCTCCCCACTCTCTGTCTCACCTTGGGACACCTCAGGGTGTCAGCCCGACCAAGAGGTGACTGACACAGGGGCCCAGGGCTCCCTAAAAGGATCAGTTGCGCTTGGCAAAAGTGCAGTTCCTGTCAGCCTGGGCCCCAGGGACTGAGCCCCGCAGCACCCAGGCCAGCAGGTGGAGAGGGTGTGGGCTGTGACTCTAGGTCCTGAGATCCAGGTGCCATGGATTTGTGGGGGCCTGTACTCTGCTGGGCAGCAGGGCCCCTTCTGCAAGACTGTGGTCCCAACAACCCCACCACTGAGCTCAGATGGTCCATGGGCTGAACTGGGTACAGTAGAGGCAGGGTCTGGGCCAAAGTCCTGGGCTGCTTCCCTTTGTCCTGGGTCCCAGCCATGCTCTTGGTGGCAGTGCTGGGATCACAACGCGCAGGGAAGGAGGCTTGTCATGAAGGTCCCTGTGTCATCGCAGCTCACTCCTGGCAGAGCCCTGGGGGGGGGGGGTGAACCCTGGGAGGTGGGGTGAGCCCTAGCTGTCACAGTCACGTGGGCTATGTGCAGCTGCGCAGCTCTGTCTTCCCAGACCGGGCATCAGCGGTGGCACGGGGAAGAGGGAGCCCGCGTGGCCTCTGTGGTGTGGCAGAAGTCCGAGGAGTGTAGGGCGGGTCCAAGACCATTGGCTCCGGAGAAGGACTCTGCTCTGCAGCTGGGCAGGAACCCGTGGACGGGAATCACAAGGAACCAAGCGCGCAGTGCACTGCTGGCCTCACCACCTTGGCCGGCTGCCCCTTGCTTTTCACGCACTCTGTCCTGGTGGCGATGTTGGCTGAATCCTCAAAGAAGTTACGTGGCTTACAGAGCCCCAGATCAAAGCCTTTTAACTGCATGATCAATCAAGCATTAAGAACAGTTTCTTTCCAGGTTTTTTTAATGGGTAATTTGATTATGCACGGTACATGAGCCCTTAAATTACTTTGTGTGCTTAGATAAGACAATTGCAAAAACAGTGTCACTTGAGCCAGAAAGCAGTCCTGTGCAGCTGCAGGGCCAGTGGCAGGGATGGCAGGACCCTGGTGTGGGCCCGGGACACTGCCTCCCACAGTAGATTTGTGGCCTGTAGGGTTGAACAGGTCCCATCACAGTGTGCACCGGAGCAAGGGTCAGGGCTGTGCACATAGGAGCCTCATGTGGCCAGCACAGGAGGACAAACACGGGGGAAGATGACATCCATGGAGCACAGAAGGGGCTCCTGGTTAAGGAATCAAGTGTCTGAGTCACAGCCAGGACCAGCTGCCAGCAAGGGTCTTTGTCATTGGAGTGGCCTTTTGGAGTGGTCCAGCAAGCCTGGAGATGTGGGGACGTACAGGCCTGCCTCACACTCAGAGTTCAGCACGCCTCCTCAGGCTTCCTGGCTGGCAGTGCGCAGGGGCCTGCCCATCTTGGCTGGCGGGCTCTGTGTTCCCGCTGTGTGTCTGTGATCCAGCACTCACCCGCCTCACACCCCTGACCGTGACTTGGTCTTAATAGAACGAGGCTCGTGGCTCGATCCCACCGCTTCCTCAAGATCACTGTTCAGACTCTGGGGCCCTGAGACATCTGCTTTACAAGTTCTAATTCCTGATCTTCCTCTTGAACCTCCCATACCTGCTTCACTCCCACTTCGTAAAAGTCAAATCTCTCCCTGTCACCTCAATCAGGCAGTGACTCAGTCCTACTGATCCTGCCCGAGGGGTCAGTCTGTCCTGGCACTGCTGTCCTGCACATGCCTCATTTCAAGCTCCTCTCCATTGTGCCTCACCAGGCTGTGGGCCACACTCCGATCCGGAGGGCCTTCCCCAGACTCGGCTTCCGCTGGCCTCCTAGAAATGACAAGATTCAGGCCAGCTGTGCCGGGAGGCGTTGCTCGGAGTTCTCCTATCTACCTCAAAGGACCTGTGGTGTCTGGGCCGCCCTGCCTGTGCCACACACACACACACACACACACACACACACACATGCGTACACACGCATGCACACACACACGCATGCACACACACACACACATGCACACGCATGCACAATAAGGATCAGAAGTCAGTCCTCGTTGCAGCCACCTGTGTGTCTATGAGCGGTTGCTTCTTCCAGAGGGGTCCCTTACCCTCTCCTTCTGCCTGGAAATGTCCTGCGCATTTTCTGGGCTGAACTGAGCACTGGCTTCCCTGCTGCTCTTCTCTGGGCCTCCCTCTGGGTTCTCTGGCACCTGCCCTGCTGCACTCACTTTGGTTTCCTCTGTGGCACAAACTCAAGTCGTGCTTCCCCTCACCCCATCCATCAGACCCTCCGGTGCAGGGGCTGGAGCTGAGCCTGGTGTGAACAACCCAGGTGGCGCACTTGGATAAAGGTTATCCATGGAGACGGAACCCACGGTGACCGCAGGGCCTTGGCTTCACTTCTCATAGTTGAAGTTGGAAAATTTACTCACATGTCCTTGAGTTCCTCTCATATGCTTATCAAAAGAGCAACAGACTCTTTCCGGGTTTGTTGCCAACTGAGTGCAATGCTTAACTCTCCAAACAGAGCAGGGGCACAGGGGTACAGGGGCATGGGTCCGAGGTCCAGGATGAAGGCTGCCGAGCACACTAAGCTCAAACAGCCTTTTGGGTTAACTGTGCCCCCCAGGAGCTCAGAGCCAAGCGTTCCTGACCCTGTACCTCATGAGCCAAGCATAACCTCACGGGCCCTGCTGGCCTGCTCTGTCCCCTCCGTGCTGACTTTATTAATGTGATTCAATTCTGATGAGAAATATCCTGGACGTGGCTTTCTTTCACTAAGTACAATGTCTTGTACTGAATCCCTGGCTACCTTAATCTGCAAAGGACGACTTGTGAGGCCGAAGCGGCGTTATTACTGGATAATGATGGAACAACTTCACGGGCTGGCATTCCGATGTGAGAGCACTCACGCGGGAGTCATGGGGTAACTGAAACCAGCCCTTTCCCGGTGCTTTCCAAGCCTGCAGGTGACCTGGAAGGAAGCTGTGCACTGGCAGAAGGCAGGCGGCTTGGCTGGCTCCTCATGGGCGAAGGGGTGCTGGGCTCGGGCCAGGGAGGCTGTCCCCCAGGGTCACTCTGTTCTGGGGGTGGCCCACGTGCCCCAGGTGAGCTGACTGCAGGGCGACCATGCACTGGCTCCACTGAGGACAGCATGAGGGGGACAGGAGGCAAGCACCATGAACCTTGCATCATTGAGCATGGAGGCCTTCGTCCTGCAGGACAGCTGTCCCCTGCCTGGGTTTCCACAAACACTGACTTGGCTTCTCTCCTTTGCCACTCTGAAGCGGTGGCCTCTGGCGGGTTCCTTGGGTCTTTGTACCACAGCAAACCTCTCTTCCACAGCAGTGCCCATGTGGAAGCTGCCCACACAGCAGGGGCCTGCAGGCCCCCACCCCAGCCCTGAACCTCGGAAGCAGCCACCAAGCTTTCAGCTCTGTGTCAAGTGCTTTCCTTGGGTCCTCTGCAAAGGTGGTGCAAGAGGCAGAAGCTCTGGTTCAGCAGGAAAACCTCGGGGAGGGGGCAGCTGGCCTGGGCAGGGAGGAGACCAAGAGGCCCTCAGGGGAGGGGAGGGCCACTGAAAACCATGCTGACCTCACAGATGGGACCTGATGCGTCCTCATCCTCGTGGAGGTGTGGTCAGCCCCGAGGTCAGCACAGCAGACAGCACAGAGGACAGCACAGTGCACAGCCAGCTGCCTGCTCCAGCAGGCCACACCTTCCGGGCTCCAAGGTGGAGCCTCCCTCTCTTCCAGTGGAGGAGGGCTGGAAAACATGAAACCCTTTCTTGCCAGCAGCCTCTCCTCCTTCCTCTACCCTTGGGGTCCATCCCAAGCCCTCAGAGGACCTGGCTGGTCCCGAAGCCTGCACCTGCTGTTCCTTCCTGCACATACTCACCTGTAATGAAGGGCAGTGGACGCGTTAGACACAGCAGATGACCAACGATGGCAGTGACAAAGGGAAGCATCACGATGATGCGCTCTGCCACGCTGTGCCAGGGAGACCACGTGTGGCTTCTCCTTCCAACTTTCTCTCGCACGGAGGACTTGCCCCTCTCTCTTCCCCTGCGGATGTGAAAGGGGGAGGTGCCTGCTGAGGACCAATGGGAAGTGACATGAATGACACTGGCTTTGGGACTTAGCACCGGCTAACACCGATGGTCCCCTGGCCCAGCTCTGCGATGCCACGGCCTGTGTGGTGCTCCAGACGGCTGCTGGGGGAAGCATGGCCAGAGGAAGCACAGATGATGAGGACTCACTGGACAGGGGGACAGAGTGGGAGGCGGAGATTTCACTGCACTGCCCAGGGTGTCTGCAACTTTACACTTACAGGCTGCTTTTTTCCAGAATTTTCTGTTTAATATTGTTGGTGGTGGGAACCAAAATCAGGGAAGGCAAGATCATGGCTGAGGGGAGACCACAGTGACTGAACGGCGTCTCCTCCACCACCGGTAAGTACTGGGACACCCCTGTCTGGGAGGCGCTGACGTGAGCTGAGGCTGCAGGGCCAGCCCGATTTGTGCTCCAGCTCCCTCCCTTGGCCTCAGACATCGCTGCGTGGGCCCCAGTCGTCTGCAGTGGAGAGGGCAGAGGGCCCTGCTTAGCTCTGAGGTTCCGGAGAGAAACGGGGACATTTCCCCTCATCCTCCTCACCTA